AAGTTTAAAAAAAGTGAAGAAGAGATTTCATTTTCTTATTCTGATAAGTCTTTAAAAAATAAAAAAGATAGGGAAGAGGAAATTTTATTTCTTTATTTTAACATTAATGATTTACAGTTTCTTTTTGTTAAAATATAGGCAATTTAAAACCTAAGATGCAAGTTGCTTAGGATTTATTTTGTTTAAATGAAGGTAAAAAAGTTCTTTTATTATTTTATTATACTACTAATCTTAGTATTATAAACTATGATAAAACAAAATTTTTATATTTGACATATGTGTTAAGTTTAACAATTTTTTGTTTATTATATAAGTTCCTTATATTAAAAGTTGTTCAATAATGATCAGATTCTAATAAAATTAGCATATTATGGCTTTAAAATAGTGTAAAACTATATGCAAAATTTAAGCATACATTGATTTAAAAAATATTTTTATTTATGTTAAAAAACTGTTCTATAAAAAGTGATCAATATGGATGTTGATCCTCTAATTGAAATCAACTGCTATGCCGATCACCTATATTATATATAGTGTTTTGCGAGAAAACTTCAAAAATAAATATTTTTTTTATGTTTTCGAAACAAGTAAATAAGCAATATATGATTGATTAACCATCAATTTTTTTAAATGCACTGTACACGGTACTTATTAGATGTGATATATAATTGTAACAATTAGCGTTTTTGTTCTCAGAATAATTAGTGTAACAAATTTAACCCCTTAATTAATCCTAATTCTACCCTAATATTAATCCTAATACTAAACTATTAATCCTAATAATAAGGGGTTATTTTTTTGATAGGGCAATGACATAGTGATATATTACTATATAAGGTATTAAAAAAGTTTGGTATTTTGCCTTCATTGTCCTAGATGCAAAAATAAATTTATCACGTGAAATTCGTGCATGTTCATACCCCAAAATTTCTGTACCCCAAAATATTTTATCGCGGATATATAAGGGTTCTACTTTTATTTCGTTCATTTATCTTCTCTTCTGCAAACTTCTCGACAAATATATGCACACGCAAAATAAATAAAAACTTCAAAATAGTTTTTTTGATAGTTCTATTATATGGCATTTTCTTTAACAAAAAATTTTTTTTCCTTTTCTTACCCCTCTACCTTCTACTACCCTTCTTCCTTATTTTACTATTTTTGTTATATCTTTTAGTCGGTTGTCCGTCCGTCAGTCCGTCCGTCCGTTTCTTTTCGATTTTCGGTTTAGGTTTTAGATGGGGCCCCGCAATTTTTTTGTAGGTTTTCGGTAAGGATATCCTTTTCTCTTACACCTCTACCCCTCTGCTACCCTTCTTCTTTATTTTAACTATTTTTGTTATATCTTTTAGTCGGTTGTCCGTCCGTCCTTTTCTTTTCGATTTTCGGTTTAGGTATTAGATGGGACCCCGCAATTTTTTTGTAGGTTTTCGGTAAGGATATATTTTTCTTCCCTTTTATTTAGTTCGCGTGTGCATATATATGTTTAAGGAAGGTCAGGTAAACAAATAAAAAATTAATAGTTTTCGTGTTTTTTTTTGATGTGTTTTTTTTTGATATATGTAAATTATATATGTGTTTATATTAATAAAACGTTATGATAAAGTATTGTATTATAATAAAGAATAACGAAACCGTTCATTTTATTTGAAAAATAAACTTTTTATTTTTTATTTTGTGTTATCAAAGTTTTTAAAACGTGTAATCTCGCGATCAAAGTAGAAAATACATATGTTTATTGTTTTTTGATTATTTTCGTTCTTTGAACAAGTCTAGACCAAGAAAAATAAATTTGTTTCTTTAACAATAAAGGAGTCTTTCATAAAGTACAAATAAAAATCAGCAGCAAATTTCAAAATTTTAAGTCCAACAACAAAATAATTCGGCCAACTAGACTTAATTATTGTAAGAAAGTAATATACTACTTGCATTGTGACATAAAAAATTATTACATGATGTTTTAAAGAACTTATTTAAACTTGCGTCTCCTGGGATTGAAGTTCTTTGGAAGCGTGGGTACAGCTATGAATTTTATCGTCCAGGCTAGTATCGCACTTATTATTGAGATAGGCGAAGATTTGTATGATTATTGCCTGTTAACACAAAGCAAAGATATGTCCTGGCGATTAAATCATCCGGAATGACATGAGTCGATTAATTAATCTTTAATGATCGATGTTGAAGTCGGCGCTTTACCAGATTCTGAAGGTTTTTTTTTTTTTTTTTCGCCAAAAGTTAAAAGAAAAAGAAAAAGAGACATCTGCAAAATATGGAACTTTGCAATAAAAAAAGGGTGAAACTGTCGGTGAAAAAATAAAAAATGAGATAATGCTAATCTTTACATATTTTGGTCTAAAATCATATTTGTCCTATAAAAGTAAAATTTATTTTTTTTCAGGCATTTTCCCTCCTTTCTATTGCAAAAGGTCCCTTATAATCGAAAATGTAATTCGTGTAACCCTTTTTATTATTCCTCTTTTTTTTTTATTTTACAAATAATATAGACACGCGATTTACTGATAGTTTAAGTTATCTGAAATCGACATGATGGATTTTGTATTAACTAAGATATTTATAATCCAAAAAAAAAAAAAAAAAAAAAAATTCTCGAAATGATCGATAAAAAAAAATACAACAGAAATGCCTTTCTTGTAAATTCTCATACCCTAGTTATCAAAATACTTTCACGAATAAGATGAAATAGTTGACATAGGCAGTTCTGCGGACATTACCTCGTAATATGTTACATGAAATTTTCCATTCGAACAGTTAAAAAATATTGAATTTATTGGTGTCGGATTTTTCAGCCGGAGCTCTGAAATAATCCTTTAAAGATTTTAATTTCTGCAAGAGTGAAATTCTCGAAATTCCATTATTAATTTAAGACATTAAGAATGAATTGATAAATCGATTTAAGAGGAATGAAACTTGCGAAAAAGCTAATTAATAATGACGAAAAGTTAAATATGAGGGTAAGAGACCCACGGCAAGTTTTCCTACATTTAAAATGATCGTCCTTTTCCTTTTACGGAATAAAGTTTTAGATCAAGGATAATTAAAAAAGAAAATATTAATGCTATTCAGCGAAATAGATTATTATTAATTATTCATGAATTTTTTTTAAGGGTACGCATTTTTAATAAGTGGAAACAATTTATAGATCTGCTCAATTGTCAAACCTTGATCGTTTTCAGAAACGACCCGATCTAGAAATGTATGCTTAACTGAGATGGCATGGCATGGATTCCTGAAGCATTTGGTTGTTATAACGAGATGAAATGTCGTTTAAAAATGATTAAAAAAAATGGGTATCGACACTTGTACGATTAATTTTTATCGAGTGATTTCGAAATAAGGTTTCGATGCCGAGTCAGTGTCATTTTCTATTTCAATTATTTCAATGCGCATGAACCGAAAGGATGACTTTAATTATGATCGAAAAAAATTGATTTCACCGGGAATTTCATAGTGGAAATATCCCAAACATCCAAGTTAATGACGGGTAAAATGACTTTTTAATGTCAAAATTGATTTAAAGGATCAAAAGAATATGAATATTTGGGCGATTATTAAGAATTTTACGACGATGAATCTATTAGCGTTAGTATATTAATTAGTATTGTTTTTTTTTTAAAAAAAAAAAAAAGATGTAGGCAGCGTTTCATTATTATTATTGTAAGGTGGCTTTTTTAAAAAAAAAAATTAAATAATACCCTGGTATTTTTCCATTGCTGAATAGCCAAATAAACATATATCACGTGATATATCGGGTTTTTTAGAACTTTCTTAATAATAATAAGTTTGGTTAATAATCGTTATTGTTATCTTTCCTTTTCCAAAAATGCATGAGTGAAAAGCAGATTTTAGGAACTTGTAACAGATCATAAAAACTTGCGCGAACCTCTAGCTAGTGCATGGTAAAATTTTGGACAAACAGTTTGAAGCGGTAAACAAATGAATGATAGTCGCCTGCATCAATTTATTCCTGGCGGTTTTATTATAAAATTTTTTTTTACCAAATTAGGAGTGATCATCTCCTGTAGGAAATATTATAATGAGGAAAATTTCAACCAATGAAATGAAAATCACCTTTATATAGGTTTTGCATAGCCGTCGTTATTGCGTAATTTCAATTTTTATTGGACATATAAACAAATAGCACACTTTCCTTTGTTATATATTCTTTTTTTGCATCGTTTCAAAAACGAATCGTGTAACAAGCAGGTATTTTTATTTTCTCTTTTTCAAACTTAACCGTTTATTTAATGTACGGATTTGTACATTAATGCCCCTCCAAATAGCACATCATCGCATGAATGGTTAGATAATAAAACTTTATTTTTTTTTTTTTGACCAATAATGAGATTAAAAGGTTAATTTGAAAAACAGCAACATATAAAACCTTTTATTTAAATACAAAAATAATAAGTTATTGCTCTTCCATATCGTGCAACTTAACGATAAAATTCATAAGCGAAGCAATCAATACCATTCGTTATTGTAAGAAGAGCATGCATTCTTTTATCCAATTCTATTTTAGGAACTTTTTTTTCTGCATGATTGATCGGCAAATCGGCTTTGCTTTGATTTATTGGTTACCCAAACTAAACTAAAATTGGTAACAACATTAATTTAAAAACTTCCTTAATTTGGAATTTATGTTTGTTGCTTTAAATAGATTAAAATATACGTAATACAAAAGTATTTTATATACTGCAAAAGAATCATATCTTTCCGATTCTTATAAAAGAACATGAAATTTGCTCTCCAACTTTGTTTCTCATTCTTCGCTAGTTCAATTTTTGACTGGCATATCTATCTAATTAACTCCTTTCTCATTTTAATCATTCATTAATCCTCAAAAATAAATTCCTCGATCTATCATCCCCTTCTCTCACCTCTCGATCACAACTTTAATTCGTATTCCTAAATCTTTCTTCACACCTTTACTACACTCAAACCTTACATGTGTCATTTACCTTTTTAATATTTAACAAAAAATGAAATCCAATCTGATTTCTGCTGCTCTTGTTCTCTGCATTGCTACTCTTGCTTCAGTTCATGCATCCCCAAATCCTTCTTGTAGGCAATATATCAATGAGCGGAAAATTTGTAATGAAAATGCTGACAACATTTCCAAAAAGGATTGCATATGTAATTCTGAAAAATTATTCACTTTATATAGTGAATGCCATGGATCTGACGATCCTGAGCAATTCTTCATAAACGAACTCTGTAACATTGATTCCAACCGTAAAAAAGTCATTAATGATTCTGGTTCTAATTCTGACGTCTTGATGAAGAGGAAGGGCGAACCAGTACCAAAAGCACCTAAAGAAGAACAAGAAAATAAAGATAAAGAAGCACCCAAAGAACAAGAACAGGACGATAAAGATAAAGAAGCACCCAAAGAACAAGAACAAGAACAAGACGATAAAGATAAAGAAGCACCCAAAGAACAAGAACAGGACGATAAAGATAAAGAAGCACCTAAAGAACAAGAACAAGACGATAAAGATAAAGAAGCACCCAAAGAACAAGAACAGGACGATAAAGATAAAGAAGCACCCAAAGAACAAGAACAAGAGAAAGACGTTAAAGATAAAGTTCCAGAAGTTCCTAAAGGTAAAGCAGATAAAGTTAAAGGCAAAGTTCCAAAAGGAAAATCTGTCAAAAAGGTTGTCAAAAACAAGAAAAAGGTTACCATACCTAAGAAAGTAAAGGCCATTAAACCTAAAGGAAAAGAGCAAAAAAGTAAAAAACCTAAAAAAGTAAAGGCCATTAAACCTAAAGGAAAAGAGCAAAAAGATAAAAAACCTAAAAAAGTAAAGGACATTAAAGCACCTAAAAGAAAAGAACGAAAAGATAAAAATCCAAAACAAAAACAAGTCGGTAAAGATAAAAAAGTTACTAAACCTAAAAAACTCAGGTTCAGAAACAGGTTTGGACGCAAACACGGACATAGGTTCGGACACAGATTCGGACGCAATCGCTCACTTAAGTTCAGACACAGATTCGGACGCAGGTTGGGACGCAATAGATTCTAAGTATAGAAACATATAGAAGAGACATTACATTCATATGCATATCCCATATTCGAATTACCAAACATTTACATTTAGATTTCCTTAATGTTTATCGTTTAGCATTTAAATAAATTGATTTTTGAAATGGGTTTTAATCCCTTTTTAATTTTAAACAAAGACTTTTCGGATGAACTTTAAGTTAAATACCATGTGATTTAAGAAATCGCAAGTATTTAAATTGTATAAAGAAAATTTAATTTTTTAATTCCAGATTTATCTACGCGTGAAAAATAAATGCAAGCTATTTTTATTCTGTGATATTAAGCTTTTTTAAAAATAATTATCGTTGCTTCTTTCAAAGCATAAATTTGATAACGGAAAGATATTAATTATATAAATAAGTGCTTTTAGCATTTTACATTGCTGCTCATGACCATTTTGGCAGCTTTTTAAAATATTTGAGGGCTTCCGCCCGATCTTGCTCACACTTTATCATTATATAATCAATCTCTATATCATAAATCGCTCAAGAAATTCATTTGCTTCATAATTCTGTAACATATTATTTATCCAATATCATTTTGAATTACAGTATATGGTTTACAATATAAATAATTTCGGTTGGTAATTGGATGGCAATTTAAAAAGAGATCATACGAAGAATTATTTAATTTTTTCTAATATATAGCAACAACCTTACAGTTTACAGTATATCATGTTTATTCACTTTATATCTATTTATAAAACCGCCTTTGGTATACTAAATTTAATGAAATGGTAGAACATGTCGATTTTGTCTCAAATAGGGAAGTCAAAAGTATAACATTTAAATAAATTAAAAAAATATATTTTAAAGTGTAACAATATTTTCGTAGCAAACAAAAACACGATTTAGACGCGGAACGATCTTCAGAATGCGACGAAAAAAAAAAGTGCCTAGACTTTACTAGTCCTTCGCTTCGTTCCGGATAATAAGCATTGCAAAGGAAATTACAGCGCTAAATATATGCGCAGTCAACTCGTGTATTTCCGGATAAGATTAGCTTATCGTAGGAGAGAGGGGGGCAATCATTTTTGATCTGCGTATTAAGATTATCCCTTTGCCATTGTAAGAGCTTTGTAAGAGGGCTTCCTTGCTTACTAGAATCAATGAACTTATAATAGTACTTTGTTGATTACTTATGATTGATAATTTTGTCTATTTCTGCATCATTGACGCGAATTTTTTTTAACGAATTTGGCGCAGCTGCGTTTCGATATATTGGACTCGTGACCTTTCAATTTACAATATATTCCAGAAGAGTGACTTAGTAAAATAGAGCGGTGGAGAGCGATTGAGGTTTAAAGATGATTCATTTTTAGAACTTGCTGCATTTTGACAATTTAAGTCTGCGGTGAGATTGAAGAGCGCTATTTAATTATATTATCAAGAAACATTTTGGGATCGAAATAGTTATCAAAAATCCAATTATAATATAGTAATTTTACTGTAAGTATATAACTCAAAATCCCGTGTTGTTAAATTTTAAATTCATTTAAAGTGATGTCATATGTTACAGAATCTCGCATATAATTAATTGAAGAAAAAAAAATCAATATAATATTTTCAACACACCGATAATGATTGATTAAAAAAAAATTTTTTAATATATTACATAAAAAACGATCAATTAAAATCATGTTCTTTACAAAACTTGATTGCGGGAGGATATTCATTATACGCAGCTAATTTCATATAATATTCAGCTTTTTGTAAATCTCTTTTATCACCGCCACAACCTTTAAAATGTAGATTTCCAGCATTATACATTGCCACTTTAAGGCCATTTTCGGCAGCTTTCTCAAAATATTTGAGGGCTTCCTCCAAATTCTGTTTAACACCTTTACCATTATATAAGCAATCCCCATATCTTAATTTCGCCTCAGGAAATTCATTTGCTTCATCATCAGCAACTTCTTTAAATAATTCCGCAACAACCTTTTCTTTGTCCTTAATATTACCCGAATCAGCATATCCTTTTGAAATATAATATGCTTTATAATATTTAGCTTTGACTTGATTGAACTTTGCATACGCTTCGAAACATTTGTACGCATTGGTTAAATCTCCAGCGATATTACCACTTCTATCAACCAATCGATGCTGCTTTTCTGCTTCAGCAAGCGTCATGTAATTGAATGACTCAGAATCTGGTAAATCTTCATCTTTTATGGCAAATTCATCTTGGTCCATACTGAATTTTCGTTGCGGGGTTGGTTTCTTTATTTTCGGTGGCACGTAACTTTGCTTTTGTGAATTTATAGGGGATGGTGAAGCTTTGATGAATTCTTTGTAACTATTGCGAAGTTCTTTGAACATATCTGTAATTTTTGGCCTAAAATCTGGATCTTGATTAACAGCTAAAAAACAGAAAGAAAATAAATTATAATTTTTGCGAGACAAAGAAAAATCAACGCATACTTTACATACCATTTATTGCTAAATTTTGGAATACGATAGGCATTGTGTTATTTTCAGAAAAAGGTTCTCGATATTTCTTTTTAAGTACAAGTTCGGTTATAGTCATAATATCATCATGCTCTTGATACGGAAGTTTCATTTCAGCGATTTCCCAAAGTAAGATTCCAAAGCTATAAACCTCACATTTATGATCATATTTAAAATTCGGGGCCCTATCCAACAATTCAGGAGCACAATAACGTACACGTTCTAAATTGTGCTTTTGGTTTGTCGTGGGCCCGCTCGTGTGGCGACTTAATTTAAAATTTGCAAGTTTTGCTGTATCATTAACCGTAATTAAAATATTCCTTGATCTAATGTCACGATGTACAATCTAAAAAAATGTGAAATTTCTTTCAAAAATAAATTAAACAAATTAAGTAATGATTTAATTAATTAAAAACTAATGCTTACCCCTACAGATCTTAGAAAATTTAATCCACGAGCAATATCAAGAGATATACGTAATTTTAAAGTTTCATCAAATCGTCTTTCATGTTCAGTATAAAATTCGTGTAAATTTCCAAATTCAGCCCATTCCGTTACCAAATATGATTTGTTTTCATCATAAGCAAGTCCATAAAATTTTATGATGTTCTGCCAATCTTGAAATTCTTTAAAGATTGTAACTTGATTCCGTATGCTATGTTTATCTTCTACATCAGAAATGTTCTTAAATGCAAATTCTCGAGCCTCATTTTTAATATCAAGGTATCGAGTTACACGTCCTTCATTACGATTCTCATTGGTTTCTTTATATTCTATGAATTCTAATTTATTACTTTCCGTGAAAATTTTATCAATTTTATTTTGATAATATTCAAAATTGGTATCCTTTCGTACTGCACTTTTATTTTGTTCGTCCAGGAGTTTTTCCATCTTATTATTCATTGTATTGATTTTTAAAACCATTATTGAAAACTCTTCTTTAAATTCTTTGACATCAGTTCCAATTTCTTTGACGTTAACTCCCATTTCTAACATATACTAAAATTATTAAATGTGATAATTAATGAAACGTTAAATCGAATTCTGCAATAGTGAGTAATGAACCTTACTTTATTTAAATCATCTTGATCAGATTTTAATTGTTCAGCTTCGTCATCAACACGAATTTTTTCTTTAATCAATATGGTAAAGCTCAATAAATTTATCCAACTATCAAATTCTCTACATAATTCACAAAAAGTCTTCTCAACGCCTTTTGCCTTGAGATGTTTCATCAAAGTATTCATTTGAGAAATTTCTTCTGCGAATTTTTTGATATTTGCTATAACGTTAACCAAATTTTGTAAATACAAATAGTTCCTATTAACGAAGAATTCTTTATTCTCATCTCTTTGAATTTTAAGATCAAATAAGGCTGATTCTGCCGCATGAACTCGTTGTAATAATGCTCTGCAAGTTCGCTTATTGTGTTCGGCAGCTTGTACGATTTCAACAATTTCGTTAAGCACATTTCCAATTTCGGAAATTAAAGGAACAAATTTTGCGAATGGAACTGCTGTTGAAGTTGCTTCTCCGATTGCCGCAGTAAATTTTACCGCTGATTTGGCTATGGGTTCAATAATTTCTGAAATATCATCGAGCTTTTCTGCAAAATAGCTTAATTTGCTTGATTCATCTTTTTCATCTTCTTGACCTGTTGCACTCATTTCAAACTAAAAAATTTTTTATTTTTTTAGGAACCGGAATTCAAAACTCCGCCTATTATATACAATTGATACATTTGTACCATGTTACCATTATTTCCTAAAAGGATCCTCGGGCTTAGCTTAATTTTCAATTACAGTAAAAAAAAAAAAAAAAAAAAAAAAAAAAAAAAAAGATATAATAATCAAATAATCAGTACGATCGGCTCCATTCGGCAATACTCGGAATAAGGCAAAAAAAAAAAATATGTCCGATTTTTATATTATTCCTTGTTAAGGACGGAAATCCCCGATTTTTCAAAAAAAAAATTAATCAGAATAAATAATAATTTTAATATTTATATTATAAATTTATATTATATTATATTATTACATATTTGGTTTGTGTATTCAAATGTATTAATTAGTTAATAAAAATAAAATATCAATCATTCAATATGATGTTCTTTACAAAACTTGATTGCGGGAGCATATTCATTATACGCAGCTAATTTCATATAATATATAGCCTTTTGTTCATCTCTCTTAGCTCCGCCACAACCTTTAAAATGTAGATTTCCAGCATTATACATTGCCACTTTAAGGCCATTTTCGGCAGCATTCTCAAAATATTTGAGGGCTTCCTCCAAATCCTGTTTAACACCTTTACCATTATATAAGCAATCCCCATATCTTAATTTCGCCTCAGGGAATTCATTTGCTTCATCATCATCAGCAACTTCTTTAAATAATTCCGCAACAATCTTTTCTTTGTCCTTAATGTTACCCGAATTAGCATATCCTTTTGAAATATAATATGCTTTATAATATTTAGCTTTGACTTGATTGAACTTTGCATACGCTTCGAAACATTTGTACGCATTAGTTAAATCTCCAACGATATTACCACTTCTATCAACATATCTATGCTGTTTTTCTGCTTCAGCAAGTGTCATGTAATTGAATGACTCGGAATCTGGTAAATCTTCATCTTTTATGGCAAATTCATCTTGGTCCATACTGAATTGTCGTTGCGGGGTTGGTTTCTTTGTTTTCGGTGGCACGTAACTTTGCTTTTGTGAATTTATAGGGGATGGTGAAGCTTTGATGAATTCTTTGTAATTATTTCGAAGTTCTTTGAACATATCCGTAATTTTTGGCCTAAATTCTGGATCTTGATTAACAGCTAAAAAAAAAACAGACAAGGGAATAAGTTATAATTTTTTTTGCGAGATAAAAGTTTAAAATCAACGCATACCATCACTTGTTAATTTTTGGAATTCGATAGGCATTTTGTTATTTTCAGAAAAAGGCTCTCGATATTTCTTTTTAAGTACAAGTTCGGTTATAGTCAAAATATCTTCATGATCTTGATACGGAAGTTTCATCTCAGCGATTTCCCAAAGTAAGATTCCAAAGCTATAAACCTCACATTTATGATCATATTTAAAATTCGGGGCCCTATCCAACAATTCAGGAGCACAATAACGTACACGTTCTAAATTGTGCTTTTGGTTTGTCGTGGGCCCGCTCGTGTGGCGACTTAATTTAAAATTTGCAAGTTTTGCTGTATCATTAACCGTAATTAAAATATTCCTTGATCTAATGTCACGATGTACAATCTGAAAAAATGTGAAATTTCTTTAAAAAATGAATTGAACAAATTAAGCTATGATATAATTAATTAAAATTTTTTGCTTATGTTTACCTGTACAGATCTTAGAAAATTTAATCCACGAGCAATATCAAGAGATATACGTAATTTTAACGTTTCATCGAATCGTCTTTCATGTGTCGTATAAAATTCGCGTAAATTTCCAAATTCGGCCCATTCCATTACCAAATATGATTTGTTTTCATCATAGGCAAGTCCATAAAATTTTATGATGTTCTGCCAATCTTGAAATTCTTTAAAGATTGTAACTTGATTCCGTATGCTATTTTTATTTTCTACATCAGAAATGTTCTTAAATGCAAATTCTCGAGCCTCGTTTTTAATATCAAGGTATCGAGTAATACGACCATCATTACGCTGTTCATTGGTTTCTTTATAATCTGTGAAATCTAATTTATTACTTTCCGTGAAAATTTTATCAATTTTATTTTGATAATATTCAACATTGGTTTCCTTTCGTATTGCACTTTTATTTTGTTCGTCCAGGATTTTTTCCATCTTATTATTCATTGTATTAATTTTTAAAACCATTGAAGAAAACTCTCCTTTAAATTCTTTGACATCAGTTCCAATTTCTTTGACGTTAACTCCCATTTCGGTCAGATACTACAATTATTAAATGCGATAATTAATGAAACGTTAAATCGAATTTTGCATGGTGAGTAATGAATCTTACTTTATATAAATCTTCTTGGTCAGATTTTAATTGTTGAGCTTCGTCCTCAACGCGAATTTTTTCTTTAATCAATATGGTAAAACTCAATAAATTTATCCAACTATCAAATTCTCTACATAATTCACTAAAAGTTTTCTCAACACTTTTTGCCTTGAGATATTTCATCAAAGTATTCATTTGAGAAATTTCTTTTACGAATTTTTCAATATTTACTATAACGTTAACCAAATTTTGTAAATACAAATAGTTCCTATTAACGAAGAATTCTTTATTCTCATCTCTTCGAATTTTAAGATCAAATACAGCCAATCCTGCCGCGCGAACTCGTTGTAATAATGCTTTGCAAGTTCGTTTATTGTGCTCGGCAGCTTGTACGATTTCAACAATTTCGTTAAGCACATTTCCAATTTCGGAAATTAAAGGAACAAATTTTGCGAATGGGACTGTTGCTATAGCTGCTTCTCCGATTGCCGCAGTGAATTTTCCCGTTGTGCTAACTATAGGTTCAACAATATTTGCAACGTCATCTAATTTCTTTGCAAAATCCTTCATTTAAATTTGAATTTTTTTTATTTTAATTTTAATTTTAATTGTTATTTTTTATTTTTATTTTTATTTTTATTTATTTTTTTTTTTTAAAGGGAATTATGGAAGCGGAAATCCACCCTATCTGTTATATATTTGATACATTGTACCATGTTACCTTTTATTTCTGATAGCATTATTTGTGTGCTGTTTTTTTAAAAAAAAAAGATAATCAAAAAAAAAAAAAAAAGACCACTGCGCCACGACTTTATCAAATTAAAGAAAAGTAGGTATATTCCATTCATCATCTTGTGTTGTACATAAACTAGAATTATAAAGAACATCTTTTCAATTATTAGGTTATTAAAGCATTTGTAATTCCAAAATCAATTTTTTAATTATTTCATAGGATAAATGATGAAATAAATTTTTCAAAGGAATAATATCCCAATAAAAAATTTGTATCCATGAATTGCAACAAACGCGGATCATGAGGTTCAATTTCGAGTTAATAAAAAGTAATGATTTACTCTTCATAACTTAATCTAGATACGCGCACCACCATTGATAATTATCTAATCGATTTACTTAACCCATTCTGGCGAATTTAGAGGGCCAGGCGCTTTATCATTAGGCAAAGAGGCGACAGGTGAACAAAAAGTATTAGACCACGTGATTATCGTTACTTAAATTGGCGTAATTTTTTCGATCATTACTTTTGATGTAATGAATTCGTTCAAAGCTATAATAGATAATATTGAACAAAGCGTTGCATGTGATATGACCAATAAAAACTGGATCAGGTGTAACATATTGAAGTTGTGCATTTTGTACATTTTACGCGTTGTAATACATTTGTGAATTGTGAGACGCTTCGGACTCCAACAGTTCCCGTTACCTAGTGTAAAATTACTTATTAAATTTAAAAATTGCGATAATTTTAAAGTGTCCAATACTTTTGACCGATGTCGTTTATATAATTCTGAAAAACCTTTTCGAGAAATAAATATAATACATGTGAAAAAAAAAGCATACGAATATCAAAGTAAAATAAAAAAGAATAAAATTATAGTTTGATATTATGCTCCTTGCAGAATGTGATAGCAGGATTGTATTCGTTATAGGCGGCTAATTTCATATATGAAATAGCTTTAGCTTCATCTTTCTTACAATTACAACCTTTATAATATAGATTTCCAACATTATACATTGCTACTCTAAGACCATCTTCAGCAGCACTTTCAAAATATTTAAGAGCTTCCATAAAATTCTGTTCAACACCTTTGCCATGATATAGGCAATCGCCATATCTTAATTTCGCCTCTGGGAATTCATTTGCTTCATCATCAGCAACTTCTTTAAATAATTCTGCAATCATTCTCTCTTTATCCTTAGCATTAAGGTTTAAATCATCATAACCTTTTGAAATATAATATGCTTTATAATATTTAGCTTTGATTTGGTTGAGCTTTGCATACGCTTCGAAACATTTGTACGCGCTCTTTAAATCTCCAACGAGCTTGCCAGTTTTATCAACCAATTTATGTTGTCTTTCGGCTTCAGCAAGTGTCATGTAATTGAATGACTCGAAATCTTGTAAATCTTCATCTTTAATGGCAAATTCATAATCATTATCAATGCTAAATGTTCGTTTTGGAGTCGGAATTTTCGGTTGACTTTGTGAATCGTTAGAAGACGATGGTGAAAACTTGTGTGATAATCTGACGTACTCTTTGTTGCATTCTCCAAGGATATTAACCATTTTAGAAAGTTTGGGCCTGAAATCTGGGTCGGGACTAACAGCTAAAAGCGGAGAAAAAAGAAATATTAATAAAATTTTTTCACAAGGAAGTTAAGAAAATTTTTATAAATATAACTTTTGGTTAACGTACCTTTAGTTACTAATTCTTTGAATTTTTCGGACATTCCATTAATTTCAGAAAAAGGTTCTCGATATTTCTTTTTTAGTATTAGGTTGGTTATAGTCATAATATCATGATTTGCATACGGAATTCTCGCTTCAGAGATTTCCCAAAGCAAGATTCCAAAGCTATAAACTTCACATTTATGATTATACTTGAAATTTTGAGCCCTTTCCAATAATTCAGGAGCACAATAACGAACACGTTCTAAATTTTGATTTTGCTTTTTGGTAGGGCCGGTCAAAGGGCGACTTGATTTGAAATTTCCAAGTTTTGCTACTTCATTAATCGTAATAAAGATATTTTCCGCTCTAACATCACGATGCACAATCTAAACAATTCAATAATTCATTTTTAAAATAAAAGTTTAGGTAAACAAATAATTAAATAAATAATAATTATATTTACTTCTACGGTTCTTAAAAAATTTAATCCACGAGCAATATCAAGTGAGAACTTTAATTTTAGTACTTCAAATCGATCTCTACAACTTGTATAAAATTCACGTAAGTTCCCAAATTCGGCCCATTCCGTTACCAAATACGTTGTGCTTCCGTCATTAGTCAGTCCATAAAATTTTATGATGTTTTGCCAATCCTGAAATTCTTTAAGAATTGTAACCTGATTCTGTACATCATTCTCACCCTCACCGATAACCTTGAATGCAAATTCTTGATATTTTTTTCGTCCACTTGGTCACTTGACCACCATCACGCTTCTCATCACCTTGGACATAATCTTCAAAGTTTAGGTTATGGACCTGGAAAAGATTATCGATTTTTGATTGAGGTTCGGAATGTTTGGATAACTTTTCCATAGTAGTATGCATTGCGGTGATTTTTTAAAACCATATCGGGATAATTTTTTGTAATTTGTTTGATTTCGGTTGCTAGCTCCTTGACATCATTTCCAATTTCTTTGACATCGGTTTTAACTTGCTTGACATCATCTCCAATCTCTTTGACTTCGATTCCCATCTCTTCTATATACTATATGATTACCAAATGTGAGAATATAACCTTAAATGATAAGACAAAGTACGTACGTAAAATTATTTTTAAACATACCTTATTTAACTCTTCTTGATCGGCTCTTAATTGTTCAGCTTCATCTATTCTATCTTTAACAGCGATAGTAAAACTTAATAAACTCACGCAACTATCAAATTCCCTACATAATTCCTTGAAGGTTTTCTCAATCGATTTCCCTTTAAGATATTTCATCATAGTTTTCATTTGAGAAACCTCTCCGGTAAATTTTTTAATTTGTGATATGACATTACATAAACTTTGTAAACCTAAATAATTTTTTGTATTAAAACATCCTTGATGAACATTTCTTCGAACCTTTAGGTCATGTACGGCTAATTCTGCTGCGTAAACCTTCTGTAACAATACATCACAAATTCGTTTATTGTGTTCGGCTGCTTGTACAATTTCAACGATTTCGTTGAGAACATTCCCAATTTCAGAAATCAAGGGGAAAAATTTTGTAATTGGAACTATTACGGGAACCGACGTTTCGATGGTTGACAATGTAGCGGAAGCCAATTTTCCCGCAGTATTTATTATAGGTTCCGAGGTATCCAAAATATCATCTAATTTTTCTCCGAGATATTCCTTTATGGACTTTTTTTTCTTCATTTTCTTCACCCATTGCTTTTATTTATTTGTTTATTTAATATTGAAAAAAAAAAATTTTTTTTTTTTCTTTTCGTTTCAAGAGTATTTTTTTTTTTTTTTTTTAAGAAAATTTATTGAGCATTTATATACACAAAAAAAGAAATTTATGTTTGGCGTTTATTCATTGTGTGTTGTAAATAAACTAATGGTTGATCCGAAACTCCGACAAAAATAAAATACGGAAATGATTAGCTACTTTTTAATTCACCATTTTATTGTTTTAAAAGTCAGGTTTCATTTTGTGCCACCAAGATAATGCGCAAAATCACAAAATATACGCCAAACGTTACTAAAAAAGTGGGGTGTATGGTTAATGAGCTCAATCCACAATCCTTCATCATCCCCATTTTTATCTACATGCACAATCAAAAACCGTCTACTCTGCGGATAGTCAATGATCGTGTTATAATTCAATCTCGTCAGCCCCATCATCATGCGTTTCTGTGCAAGATTCGGATACAATTTCATTCAATGAATTGTTCACGTTTTCGTCCTTTTTTTTTTTTCTTTTGTTTTTTCTCACTGTTAATACTTCTTTTCTTTCCCTTCTGTGCTTGGCTGCTCTTCTTCCTTGCAATCTACAGATGAAGACAGTGTTGATAGCAAGGATATCTTCGGATAGCATGTTAGTCGATTGTTGAATCGTCGAAGAGAACCATGAGTTTTGTAGAGTTGAGCAAGAACATGTATTTGAGGAGTTCGTAGGCGAACTTGCATAATCGATCATGGTGGGTAACCACAATCTCTCTGACAAGACCTTTGCATGATTGTTCCAGTAGGGTTTGCATTCATTTGTGTTTGAAGTTGATTCCTGACCCGATATCACTGATGAGTTCATAGGTTGGAAATTTGGAGCTGAGGAGTTGTTTCTGCTGTGCAAGATCTTGTTTTTGCTTGACACTAGAGACCCGAACGTTGAGGAACCCTTTTTTTGGTGGTGGCGTGGTGGTGTTATCGGCATTTTGGGAAGTTAACTCTGGAAGAATGGAAGATAAGTACCAGATTTTTTTTTTCGATATTTATAGAGATAAAATTCTTAAACAAACATAAATATCTTATTTATTTTTATTTTTTTGATTTGAGCTCGATTTTAAGTCAATTCATTAAAAGTAAATCGATTATTGTTAATAATTAAAGATGAGTCAATGAATCAAGATATACGAGAATGTTTGTTTTAATAACGATAAGCTATTCGAATGATGTTGCGCAATTTTAAATTATATCTTGATACAATAGTTCCATTCGTACCTGATATCAATGATGATATATTTTTCCTTGCTTTAGCCAGCGACGCAAGGTGTATGACGAGATTCCAAGTTTCTTAGTTGCTTTATGTGCAGAAGAAAAGAAAAGAAAGGAGGGATTAGTTTAAGGTTTACGATTTTGAATCTTTTTTATAGGCCTTTTCAAATTGACTCTTTTCTCTTATTGTTTGTAATAATATACGTTTGAATAGACTCTACAAATTGATAAGCATTACTTAGCAGATGTTACGATTGTAAATTACCAAGTAAAAATTTAAAACAGTATTTCCAATTCAACATAATTAATCAAACAAAAGAAAATAAAAAGTCTGAATTGAATTAATTTGCGTCTAAAATTTGTGCTGTCATTAAATTAATTCGCAGCCAATAGAACTCGGACCGATCCTCCTTAGAATGTTAAAATCTAAAATGTATAACATCGAGAACAAATTATTCCAATTTTTTTTGGCATCGATACTATTAATATTTCAGTGTTGTAAGCAAGGATACTCAAGATTACAAATGGTCTTGGTTTGTGATAGGCACTGGGAGAACTCTCTTGGGTAAATGCCGTCCAATCCTTTGCAATATTACTAAGAGGTTGTACGTGCGTACTTAATTGATAATTTAATTGCTGATACTCTTTTTTTTTTTAAAAAAATAATAAATGTTTATACCACACATATCACCATGTTAGAGACCCATGTAGGACTCTAATAAGCGGCAATGAAATTAGTGATTCAAAGCAATTAATCCGATAATAACAAATACGTTAATAATTATTGATATTTATTACGTAAGATCTATGTATATACATTACAGATAATGACAATACATTTCGAAATTCAATTATTATAATGACTATGATTGCTTTTACTTCTCTTCTTTTTGCGATTGATGTTTGATTTATCATGCAATTAAAGTCGGCAAATTTCTTGATCAATAATTGCATAAGCATTATAATAGCTCGTATATTTTTAAAATCAATTCGTTCGTTTTATCCTACTTTCAAGCAACGTGCCGGGATTGTTTGGATTAATAACGTTGATTTGTTGTACTTTACGAACCGTGTTGACATTTGGCCGTGGCCAAAAGATTTTTTTTTTTCATGACCGAACGGCCAAACAGTCAACCTCCGGCCAAATGTCAACACGGCATTGGCTGTATTTTAAAATGTTTCCAAAATTATTACATGAAAAAAATTTGTCAACTTAAATAATTAAAGCTTACATTATTAAAAATTAATAGATCGGAGAAACACGATTTTAATCACATCGATAAAAGATTTAATCAAATAAAGAAATTTTGTGGTAAAGAGGAAGAACATTTCACATGAACGGAATTAATCATCATACTACAATAATTAAAATACCCATGATTATCAAATTTTTTTATTTTCTTCTTATTCCACGCAAGACATTCGGCACTTCGTTACTAATTAATTAACGACAAAAAATAGGTGTCAGACATGTATCAGTACAAAGTACAAATTCGTGTATCAAGCGGTATTCATTTATTTTTAAAGCATTAAATGAATACACCATATTAAAAAACCTTTAGTAATGTTTATGTGCCCTCTCTTTTTATTTTTTTGCTGCATTTGTAAATTGAACTTTGTTTTACTTTGGATTATTGTTTCTAATTTGAATAGTTACCATCGGAGATTAGGATGGGAGGTTGCCAAGCAATGTCACTGGCTAGTTTAAATTAATAATTTTATTGAAAAACAAGTGATCAGCTAATGTAAAAAAAACTCTTAAGGATCTTTATAGTGGAGAACAACGAAATTGAAAGACCGATAAATTATTATTATTATTTTTTTTTTTTTTAAAAAAAAAAAAAGATTGCAAAGATCAATCGCTTAAATATTTCCACCATGCATGCCTTTGGTACTTTTGGCCGAATAGCTCATGCTACTTAAAAAGATACGTAGCTTAGAAATCAAAATAATTGTCGTTTCGGGACACCATTTATGAAACGATAAATCTTTATCAAAGTGTATTTTTGATTTTTTTGTAACCATTATCAGCCGTTTGTAAATTTTTAATGTTCAAGCGTTGGTAACATTGGTTGCTATTTATCGCCACATTGGTCCTAATGATTGCGGGCCCCCCCATCAAAATAGTACTTATTTTAAAATCTTAAATATAAACCGCGGCGACTAGTTAGGAAACATACAATTACTTTTTTTAGAGTAGCCTTGTGGAACACGTGTCGAATATAAAAAGGGGATAATTTATCTGATTCCCCCTTCATTTCTCTCCTTTTCAATTAAAATTTTCTAACAAAAAAGAGAATAAGTATGTGAGATTGCACAAGCGCGTATGTAATTAAGTTTATCTTTAAACTTATCTGAGTTTTCAAGTATCTGATCAGGTATTTGATTTTAAACATTTGGCACAAAAGATTTAACGTGAATTTTAATTATAAAAAAATTTTTTTTTTATTTTTATTGTTATTTACTACGCTTGTACTAACTAATAGTACAAAATTGCATTCTTGAGGAAAAAAAAAAAAAAAATGAAATGAAATGAAATGAAATTTGAAATTTGTTGTTTATTCTACATGGGGGAAAAAAAAAAAAAAAAAGAAATCAAATGTTCATCAAAAGCAGAATCCTTAATACACCCTATACATATGCAAGTGATAAATCTCTAAAAAAAGAGACTTTTTTTTTTTTAAAAAAAAAAAGAAGAAATTGTTCAATGTTTTTAAATTTGTTCACTTTATCAAGATAAAGGTCTTAAAGTTGAGTCAATCCATCTTACAATATTCTCGGTACCATTAATATCTATATCGCTGGTTAAATAACCACCTTTACCATCTAATAATAATACTTTATCATGATACTGTAATAAATCCTTATTGTGAGAAACGGTAATTGTAGTTATGCCCAATGCTTTGCATTTATCAAAGAATAGTTTCTCGGTCTCTGAATCCAATGAACTTGTTGCCTCGTCAAGTGCGGCAAAAGTTGGTTCCCAGAAAAATAATCTAGCAAACGCAAGCTTTTGTTGTTCGCCAGGACTCAACATTTTATTCCAATCAATTCCATATTTTGAATCAAATGACTCCACTATTTGTTCAATGTGCGTTAAATTAACCAAAGACAGTAACATTCTTACTTCATCATCATTTACTAAACAAACAAATAAATATATATTTATAAGAACATTTTTTTTAAAAATAAATAAATAAATAAATAAAGGAATCATAATTACTTAGTTTATTTTTCTCGTCGTTTAAAACGGGATAAGTCAATTGATCACGTAATGATCCAAATACCAAATAAGGTGTTTGTGGTAAGTATATTAAATATTTGTGGTTGATCTGCTTTTGATGTTCAATTTGACCTTTTGTTGTTGGCCATAACCCGCACATGACTCTCAATAATGAAGTTTTTCCACTTCCATTTGGTCCCATTATTATAACATTCTTTTCTTGCTCGATTGTGAATTTAAAATCTGACAATAATGGAGTTCCCGTGGGGGATGCGAATGAAACATGACTAAATTCTATCGAAAGTTCAGTACTAAAAAAAAATGATGCCAAGTTAACACGCATTTCATAATATATATCACTTTTGAAATGGAAAAAAAAAAATATAGTTACCCAGGACGATATTCGAAGGGATAATCGGGGTCAACGTCATCAGTATTATTGCTAATATCTTCGATTGCCTCCAATAATTGCCCAATACGTGCAGTGTAACCTGCCAAATCCGATACATTCGTGCTTTGTTTTACAATTACCGTAAATCGGTAAATCAGGTACAGGGAAAGAAAAGAATTCATACTAATGATCCCACCTAATTTATCTTTCTCGATCCCATCATACTCTCCAGTGAAAACAGGAATTGCAATAATGAGATAACTGAAAATTGACCCAAAGTATGAGAATGATTCGGTGAGAACGTCCAAATATAGTTCACGATCAATAATTTTTCGTTGATATTTCAAGATGTTCTTAAAGAAAGAGTCTAGACGATAAAGTTCAAACTTTTCACCCAAACTGAATGCGATTGATTCAGAGAATTGTCGTATTCTCACATGAAGGAATCTAAAATTCCCTTCATGAAATTCTTTTACATACACCAAATTTACCAAAGGATTTATAAGGAATCTACTTGCAATAATCCCTAAGACGAAATATGAATAAATTAAAACTGGACCCAAATAACCAGTCAAACTACTTGTCTTGTAAGTGTAATAAATGATGAGAAATGGTGTGATGATTGTCTCTTGACATATCTCTCGAAAGGTCTCTGAGAATTTATCAACATCTTGTGTAATTCGTTGATCACTATGGGAAAGAAAATCGGATGACATCAATAAGAGATGAATTAAGTTGAGGGACAACAAGAAACAGCATGAGCAAAAATTTTGCTTACGGATTATCGACGTCAGTTCTGGAGGTTAATAAGCGATAGAAGGAACTCTTATTCACGTATTTACTTTGTAAAGTTTTCGTCAATATATTCCTTGTTGATAAGGCAAATAATCCTCCAATGAATTTAACGACGCTTTTACACTTCAAAATAACAAGAGAGATAAAATTAATTGAACGCGTGAGATAAACCAAAAAAAAAAAAAAATTATTTTAAATACTTACGAATCCAGCACTAAGAATGATCGCAATCGAATAAATCATGAGTGGCTTAAAATTATTAAAATCTTTGCCTATCAATACGGTATAAAATCTGCTTGGCACCGTACCAGCAAAATACACCAAAATTTCATTTAATAAACTGAGGCATATTAATGAAGACCATATCATCATCACATTTCCATCTGGATTTGAAGGAGAGAAAAGTATACGTAATATGCGATGGAAACGACGTAAAAATAGTCGATTGAATGAAGATTGGGATTTGTTTTTTATGTATTCTTGTTCTGTTGCTTCTAACGGAATCGGTTTTATAGTCGTACTTAATTTGATATTTAAAAAGGGTGGATTGGTGATAAGCACATGTGATATAAGTGAATTTGATGTGATGTTTAAGGAAACATTATTTTTTTATTTACCTTGATCCTTCTTCTACCTTGAGTGTCGTTTCATCTTCATCAAATATTGATACGGGATGATAATCATAATTCATGGTTTGACACGAAAAGGTAAAATCGTAAAATAAAGATTTCAAGTAAAAAAAACCAAGAAAGGAAATTTTTAACAAGAAAATATGTATGTCTTGATGATGTGATGACTAATATTAATAAATTTGAAAAATTAAGTTTTAAAATTTTTATTTTATCTCTGGAATAGATCAAAAAAAAAAAAAAAAAAAAAAAAAAAAATTAAGATTCAATGGAAAAAAAAAAAATTATAATTGTGGGGGGTATTTATACATGAAAAATGATCTTCAATATATGTTGTAAATTAACGAACCAATCGGGAGACATAGATTCAAGATTAAGGTCAGGATTGTTAATGCATTAGGCTAATCAACCATTTTCTTATCATAAAGTGTCAAGGAAACTCTTTAACTCTTAATGAAATTATCCCGATACGGAAATGTTTACTGAGAAAAAAGGTAACTATTGAAATGTGATTTCAGAATTTTCACAATGCTAGCTGAATTCCTGTGAAATGACGTTTTTATTTTAGGCTGACAAACAATAGTAAATGCCCGCAGCACGTGCGAACACAGCTATTTTTAATACATCCATATTTGTTAATAATGAACCCTAGAAAAAAATAAGACACACAATAAAGGTTTGAATGAATTTTCGCTTCGAATACAAAGCAATTTTCATTTTCGTCCTCTGACGCTATTGTAATGAAAAGGAAACAAGTGAATGATATCATGCATGTTGAATGTACGTTCCATCTACAAATTCTAGGAGGACCCTTCCTATTATGTTCTTTTATAAGACTAATTTACACTTCACATTGGAAGTGACAAGTTTTATTAAACATTTTTGGCGCCAATTTGTTAATTCCAATATTCATTACAATATTCATTAGGGTTACCTCTCATTCATAGAACATGGCTTTTGTGTAATAAATAAAATCATTCTGTTTTATTTGGTCCATCATTATCACACGATTTGCAAGGTCTTATTTTTTTTTATTCAATATGCCTTATATATCTCTGATATCAGCAATTGACCAATAATCACATATAATGATTACTTCAACTACTTAATGGAAAGGACCGATGGCTAAGCCCTCTGGATTATAATATGTACGCATATGGTGATTAAAATGAAGTGACCAAATAATTTTTTTGGATTCTCGCTCTTTAAAAAAAAAAGGGGGAAAGACTAATTTGTATGACAAAACCATTGTTTTGTTACCTTAAAAGATATTAATAAAGTTAAAGTTGATTAAGTAAGTTTTTTTTTTTTAATAACATCATCGGTTTTATTTTTCCTTTAAAATATTCATTATTATTTTTCTTAATAGTTAAAATGGATATATTTGTTAAGGAATTTAGATGACCGATTGGCGGTTTCGGATATTTGTTTGTTTACATTTGTTAATGATTTTTTTATTTTTTTTTTTTTTCTTGTGGATAGATATTTTTACCTTGAAATTACAAGATTTTAATCAAGTATTCCATTTATTTCATTCCTTAATGATTGGTTAAGATATATTAGTTATTGTTGTTTTCTATTGTTAAATTTAAATTTGTGTTACCTTGGATTCCATCAACATCTTTTTTGTTGCATGCATTGTCACCCAATGAATCTTAACACATGAAATTACAATAAACCTGAATAAATAATAAATTTAGATCTTTTTTTTTTTTAAACGTCGATCTGAAAATCGCAAAAACTTTTTTTTTTAAAATGGAAAATGAAAAAAAAAAAGAAAAAAAAAAATATACACATATACAGTATATATTTATATGTTACTTTGTTACAATAAGAATCAAATTTCGCAAAATTCCTTTGCCGAAGTCCTTAAAATGTTTAAGAAGGAAGATTTTCAACTTCCGTATGTCAGAGGTTCAAATTAAAAAAAAAGATAATTCAACTTTTGGATTGTGAACGAAAAAATAAAAAAATAAATAAAAAATAATATAAAAAAAACCGTCTAATTCTTTTATTTTTCTGACTAATTTTATTGTAGTTAGATCCAGAACTTTAAACACAAAATATCGCCTTTATTTTTATTTTTGAAATGGTGACATTTCGATGATATCACCAAGATCATTATGGTTGCGCAAAATAATTAGTGCAGTTTTTGTGATATAATGGCACGTTTCAATTTTACTCGTTTGAGACCTATCATCTTAATCAAACAAAGTGCATTACTTTATCATGAAATTGATCTGAACCCAATTGCATCTATACGAAACGGTGTGCTATTTTCTGTTTGGAACAAATTGCTTTTCAGGAAGGGGGAGTTTAAAAATCATCATTTACTCCTTTGTTTAAGTTCTATCTAAAGAATCCTAATAAAGCACAATGATTAACAAATTTTTCCTCCTTTTGTTCTAATTTAACCTTATCCAATATTGTTTTCATAATGGATACAATGATACCTTTTGTGATGATTTCTAAAAACAATTTCATTTTAATTTTTAAATAAATTTTTTTTTTTAAAAAAAAAAAATAAGTTGATTTAAAATGGGGCGCTCATGAAATTCGCGTGGCTTACGAGAATTTTAAAACCTTCCGACTTGCAAAATAAGAACATAATATGAACATAAAACGTTAATGTGTAATTGTGGCCAAACAAGGTTTCTGGTAAATAGCATGTGGTTAATTGTACCGTTTAATTCGCTACACAATAAAAATTAGTTAAGAAATACATTCGAATTTAGCCCTCTTTCAATGTTCATATGTGGAGGCGTATCTCAATATTGCCAAATAATCTTTTGAACTTGTTTCAAAGCTATTTAATAATTTTAATTGAGCAGTGCATTAATGTTACGAATAACAATTGTCAAGATGAAAACATCAATCGTTCAACAATAATTGTAAAAAAAAGTCGGATCAAGAAACGAGAAGAATATGTAATTATGGTTTAAGAGGGTGATATAATAATGTATTTATTATCAGGAAAAATTAAAGACAAATTACGCGTTGAAATAATTTAATTTTGAATGAATTTAATTATTAAATAAAAAAATGCTCAATTTTGTTCTTTTAAAAAAATAATACAACGCAACTTATTTTCTACGTAAATATTTCAGCAAGTGTAACGGAATATGTTACACTGCCCATTAAATTTTCACGGTTCAAGAATTCTGTTGGAAATTGTACTAAATGTCCTTTTACATTGCTTAATTTCCTTTCAACTTCTGCGTAACCTTGAGAATTTGCATCGATAGGCATTGTCGTGGGATTCGATACAAACTTTTTATATTGTTCCCAATCAGTGACTAAACGAAATCGGTGGAAATAAATTAATTAATGATTCAAATTCCTTCTTTTTATATAACTTAATTTCGTATTTACTTACTATTATCATCCGGTACACTTTTAAAAACAGATCTGTAGATTTCAGTATTATCTTGCGCAGTTTTTGACCAGTAATCATAAAATTCATCTGATAATGGATCCATGATTAAATTTTCTCTTGTGGGATGTTTAGACTTATTTTTTTGAGATGAAATTTGCTCATCTAGTAAAGAAGTAATCGTTTGCTCTTTCTCATGTGAAAATATAAATAAATCTTCGTGATTTAAAGGTGGTAAACAACTCTTCGTTATAGTACTATGATCTTGTGGTTCAAGTAAACCAAGATGTTCCTTAAATATATTTTTTCTTAGTGTATAAGCAAACTTACTTGCCTTATACTAAATAAGGCAAAGGATGAAAAAAAAAAAGGGATTTGAAGGTTTTTAAATGGTTTTTAATTGAATTTTCAATGCTTTAAAACATACCTTTTTACCGTCCATAAACGTGTCAACGGTTTTCTTATCCTCGATGACGATCGCGATTTCTGAATCTCGATTTCCAAGTTGTGACCTATCATTGATATTCGCTACAAAAAAATGAAAAATAAAAAAAATAAAATAAAAAATAGATGAATAATTTAAAATAAATAAAAGTGCGTTTGATATCATTGCAATTTACCAGATCCACATAAAACAAATCTATCATCCACAATCATTAATTTACTATGAATGTAAACTTCCTCAGTAACATGCAATTGCTTGGAATCCTTTTGTTTAATACCATCAGGTAAAGCCGGTTCACCACCTATCCTTTCGTTTGCGATGTGTTGCGGGTTTTCATCTAAAAATTGATCATCGGAGTCGGTTGAAGAATGATGGCCATCTATATCATGAATTTTGTCATGACCACGTAATGCAAAAAATGAAATATAATTTTCCGGATTAATTCCAGCCTCGGAAAGTTTCTCCAATATAGATCTTCCACCACGACATATTGAGATATACTGCCAATGCATTACCAAACTAAATATAATAATAATAATCCTTAATAATTTGAATTTGAATAAGTTAGTTAATTATCTAATTATCATTTACCGAATTGTTCCGGCATCCTTTGAGTTCAAATCGGCCTCAAACGCTGGCAATAAAGGCATCACGACTATGATACGAAACTTTTCTTTATTTTTGTGCGCTTTTTTTATTCGCTCTACAATACACTGTTAAATAAATGCGATTAATAAATAAGATTTTGAAGAATTTAACTCCATTTTGCTTTATCGAAATACCTCACCGATCCTATTTTTAATAGGATGACTAGGATCCGGTCCTGTCGAAGTGACTAATCAAACGAAGAAAGGAAGAGTTATAAAATGTAATACGAGATTTTGTATTTCTAAAAAAGGTAACTCACTAAAAAATTGATTTTCGATATATATAAAGTGTTTGGATGTTCGAATCAAATGACAATACGCGTTATAAATCGAATTCTACATTGTAAATAAAAAAAAATTGGTTTGAATCCAGTTAATATCTAATTTATTCAATTAGCAAAAAAAAAAAACCTACAAACCTCTAGTTTAATTCCGCTACTCCAAAAATCACTACTTCGCAAGAGTTGAACATCACAGGTACCGAAGAATTTGCTTTCATCCCGAGTGCTAACGTATTCCGCTTTTGGCGTTAGAAAAGGAAATTTTTCACGTCCAAAAGCCTTCTCTTCCTTTATAAAATTCCATCTTTGTACAAAATGTCGGGCAATGTCACGCGCTGGATGTCCAACAGTGCCGATTGAAACATCATGCCACGCCATACGAGGGACTCGAGACTTATCAATTATTTCGGCATCATAATTGGCGACTAAAATTTATTAAAGGTGTATTTCTAAAAATCTAATCCAAGGAGATGAAGGTGTACATAATTTTTTTTTTTAATATACCATTAACAAAATCCTTTACTCTCGGATTTGAATAATCTTGTCCTGGCCATATCGATATATTATCATCGGTTGCTCGATTAAAATCTACCAATTCATGTTGATGGGTATCATAACGTCCAAAACATAAATCCAATCCTCCAATAAATGCTAATCTACAATCAATCACCACCATTTTCTAAATACGAAAATAAAAATAAGATTTTATTAAAAATTCAACAATTAATAAACAGATTATCTCAAACAAACCTCATGATGCTATTAAAAAAAAAAATTTAATAAATAAAAAGTAAATATCGATTAAAATAAGATATATGTATAATTTCTAAAAAATCAAAAATCAAATCAAATCTTACAGCCCAAAACACAGTTCCTTCGGGGCCATGATCTGGATGTCTTTGAACTAAAAGAAAATTTCGTTAAAAACGGATTTATTGAATTTTATTCTCAAAAATTCACAAACCTCTTATATTAGGATGAAGACTTTGGAGATAAGATTTAGTGTGCCATGAATCCAAAGATAAAGCTAGCTTAACTTCCTTATATACAATGATGTAAATCATAACACCTTCCTCAGCCTTCCTCTTAAGTAAACGATCTAGTCTATATTCTTCGTTTTTCGAAGGAGGTCGACGAAGATACTAAATGATAACGGATCAAGGTAAAATTAGATTTAATTTATTTTTTTTTTAAAAAAAATATATATACATAATTCTAACCAACTCCGGTGATAACCACCAATCTTCGATATATATTTCTGCTTTTGCCGCCATAATAGCTTGTGACACAGCAAAGAAATAATCTTTGCCATCAACATACCACTTTACTTTTACATTCTCTCTTATAGGGGCATATGAATTAAAACGATGTTGTATGACCCAAGGTGAGGCCCGTTTAATTTTCTCAATACTTTCAAAGAATTCTTTTAAAGTACGCGCATCACCTTTGATTTCTATTCTACGTGAACTATTTTCAATAATCACCCGCCCGTGTCGTTTCATTACACGATCTAAACCATGTAAAGCTAATTTTTCACATTTAAAATATTTATCAATCAGAAAAACATCTGCTGGCACAGGTGAACTAATATCCGAACAAAAAGCTATATAACTGCAGATTGATTATCAAACAAGTGAAGAATTAAGCACAATATCAATAATATCAAGAAATATAAAATCGAATAATTAACGAGAAATTTAAAGGATACGAATCGCGAACTATAATCCATTCTTTAATCCATTTTTCATTTGAATTTTTAAACGAACATATAGGCGTTCTAAATCTTTCAACTTTATTATCCATGTAACATTCTTTTCCCTTCCATCCCATATCTCTTGTAATTGAAATCGCACTAAGTTCAAAGAATTCGTATAGATCATAAGCAACACTAAATTTCAAGACAGTTATTAATTCGATTAGATAATTTTCCAAGTCCTTCCTTCTTTGTAGAGCTGCTGCTTGATGCTTAGCTTGACGCGATTGGTGATTTCTTCCCATTATTGCTTTTAACCAATCAATAATACCAGTCGGTAACCTTGGAATATGAGGTAAATCATTTCTTTTCTTTAAATTAAGATAGAGCATAACGAAATCGAATCCTATTCTTTTAATGACCCATTTCACATCACCATACTTCAACTCTATTCTAAAAACGCTTTGCCAATTATAAGTATCATCATTGTACGAATCGGTAATAGCAAGCTACAATAAATTGGTAATGAATGAAACTTTTATTTATTATAAACGTAAAAAAAAAATTATAATTTTTTTTCTTCCAAACCTTCAATGCATCTAATAAGACAGGTGGCTGAATTAAAATTGAAAAAAAAATAAATTAACCTTGATTGATGAAAATCATGTAATTAAAATTTTTACATACTGCTTTACGTCCTTTGGAATCTAATTTTGCCCATAAAAATGGAACAGTAGATGGACTAAAAAAAAGGAGAGCTCCAAAGTTTCCAGTATCCTGTAAATGTCTATCGTGACGTGTGAATACTCTATTTATAGTATTTAATAGACTCGCCTTTTTAAGGTGTTTACGTAAAGAAGTTGAAGGTAGTGACGATGCTTCAATTATAAATTAGTAAAATGTTAGAACACTTATTTCCTCATTAAAAATATGCGAGATCATCAATAAATTCTATATTACATTGAGAAGTTCCAGGGTTGCATAATAGAGAAAGGTCAGATGATTGTCCAACCGATGGATGTTTCATATAATTAGGTTGTTCAGGTTGTTGTTCTTCAACATAATGAGCCAATAATTGTTTCTCTGAAGGATCCGAAGAGGGTAGTTTTTTTTTATATGATGATTTTCGTCTTGCTAATGGCTGCCTATTTGATTGAAAACCATTTAGTATAGTTTTCTGCCAAGAAACAATTTCGTCCAATTGATGCGAATCATCATCATCAGAAATGATTGATTCTGCATTGGTTAGAGCAAATGGTTTATTACTTAATGCAACCCGCGAATTATTATCACTTCTCGTGATAGTATCATTATTAGAATTCGAAGTATCTGTCATTGGTTTATCAAAAAAAAGGACAACTTTTTTTTTTTTTTTTTTTTAGAAAAGCGATGATATTTTGTTTTGTTTTATATGAAAATTTTAATTTTTATATCTAAAGACGAGAATATTTGTAATTAACCGAACGCAATATTCGCTTTCCCATTTTTATAGAGGCGCAATTAAAAATATTAAAAATAAAAAAGATGGGCTTAGCCATTTATGCACGATTTATGAAATTATGGTGTCACGTTGTGATCATAATAAATATCACCAACTTGATCTGGTAAATTAAGACTTCGGAAAATAAACATTGAATTATTCTAATATCAATTGTCCGAGAATACATGGATTTTCTGAAATTCTTATCTGATAAGAACCGCATGAATAATCTATATTCTTTAGAATTTAGCAACATTATTTGTAAAGTACTTGTATGTAGGAGGGTCATTAATAAAATATCCACAAAATGTAAAATTTAATAATAAAATGATGTTTGCTAATTTTCATATGAGAGTCGCGGCTTGGCGGCTGAAACTGACCGATTGGGACTTTAGAATTTTCTATGGCTGGTGGCTGGTAACTCTATTCTGATTCAATTTAGACTCAATTTAATGTTTCGGGCTAATTATCAAATATTAAACGTTTCGGGATTTTATCATCAATCAACTAAAATTTACGTGACTTATGAATTTTGTTGTTTTAAACTAGAAAGTTTCGGAATTTCCGAGTTACGGAGTTTCGAATTTGGTAATAGCGAATCCATATAACATTAAAGTTATTCAGACCATTATGTTAGTTGAAAAAGAAAGAAATCAACCAAACGAATAATTTAAAACTTGTTCTTTGGGCTTGCGTCTTTTACTGCCTAAATTAAGATATTATAATAAGATAATCCGATTCAATTCAAAAATACTAAATTTAGAAATTCATCAACTACACCACAAACCAATGTTCAGCTTTTAAGAATTTCTTCTCGAGATTTTCTAACAAAATTATCTACACGATACAAAGAATTACACTAATAAGCCTCAAAGCATCATATCTTAGTAGGACTTGTTTTACGATAAATGCATAACATTTACGATATACGAACCATTACATAAGTAATCAAATTAATATTAACAACCTGTATCGGCGACTGAGCCGACTCCCCTATTTAAACTGGAAAAATTATCAGCATGAATCAATGAATCAATATATCTCTTCGGCCGAAATGTCCATTTTATTTTATTTTTTTTTTTCGGCTCGGTCATCTTCGACAATTCGACAACAGTTACAATAGCATAGTTATATATAATCCTGGGATACATTGTGGCAATATGTTGTGAATCCGCATAATCTAATTTTTTCAACATGTCTGTTTAATCCTTCATCTCTTTCTAATTAATTAAATGTTCCCGGTATTAATATATTAATAACGACAAATTTTGATGTGCATAGTTGTACTTTAAAATAACTCAACACATTAGCCATTCACTTTACTTTAGTACTAGTCATCATATCTTATTTGACGAATGCTCCAAAAAACTTCTTATTCTCAATTAAAAAAGAATTGTTATAATTTTTTCTGATATTGGAAGACAGAAGCGACTTATGCGGCGCAACTTACTTTTAATTTAGGCAGGTATTTGTATTCGTGATACGAGTATTTATAAGATTTAATGTAAAGTTGCTTCGATAGTTCAAGAATGTATATTTTTTGCAAATTCTCACTCGGCGTACATTTTGAGAAAAAAATAATCGGAACTGTAACTTTTACAATCTTGTTAAAAAGAATATGAAACTTTAAAATTCTAATATAAATCTTATATTTAGTTATGGTTTGCTAATTATTGAATTATTGCAAAAAAATAAATTAAAGTTTATTTTTACTAACAAATAACTTTAATAGAAAAGTTAATAATAAATTATATAACAAATTCATTATTAAATTTGTAAAATATATATTAATTATATTTAATATACCAGATTAAAATATTAAAAATTTACAACTGAATATTATTTATTATTTTTATTTATATATAATTAAATTTTTTAATCACATTTTATTTTAGCTAATAATTATAAGAAAATAATTATTGATTATTTTACATTTTTTTTTTTCAATTCTAATTACTTAATTATTTATTATTATATAAATAAATTTACTATATATATAATCTGTCTTTTTTAAAATATCAAATATATAATTAAATTTTCTTATTTAATAATTATACATTTATATAACAACTACTTATAATTTTTATTTATTAATCCTTAATATTAAAAAATGATAATAGATAATATCATCTTATTTAATAACCTAAATCAAATAATATTTACAATAGAAAGAAAAGAAACTCTTTAAATTTGTATTTATTTACTAAAAAAAATTATATTTAATATAACAAGTAAAATTTATTTTTTTTGTAGTTTTTCTCAAAGTGCTTATATATAATATATATTGTCAACAATGAAAATTAGCTTTAGAAAAATGATTAATAAAAATCATTAATTTAATTTCAAATAAATTATATTAAGAAAAATCTTGTATTATATATCAAATTAATTGATATACTCTGTCAGAAAGTCAGATTTATTTATCAGATTTGTAAGATTTGCAAAATTTATCTAATTTATCTAATTAGTTTAATTTGTTAAATTTTTAAAAAATTTATACAGAATATACATACCTAAATCACATAACAAATATATTTATTACTAAAGATAGTACTGTAACTAGTTGCAATCAGTGATAAATAAGCATCACATAGTTGCAACTAGTTATGATATTAATAAAAATTAAGTTGTAATTAGTTACAATCAGTAATAAATAAGTATCACATAGTTATAACTAATTGTAACATCATTTTTATCTATTACTAATATTATACCCTCTATTTTTAATATTTACTATTTATTTAAAAATTTAAAATTTTTTGTAAAAATTATTATTCGTTATATCTTATTCATTATATAGCTAATTTCTTAATTTTTTAATACTAATAAAAAAATAATATTAATATTAGTTATATTAGATAATCAGTATATATAGATTTGTATATAAATAGAAATTGCTATTTTTTAATATTTAGTATTTTTCTTATATTTTTATTATATTTTATTTTACAAATTTTGATTATATTATAGCTTAAAAAATAATTAATTATAGTAGAATAATTTTGTATAAAATATATTATTTTTTGTTTAAGTTATAAAATAGAACTTTCTTATAAATTATAAAAATTTACATGTAAATTTTATAACTTTATTATAAGTTTCAAATTATAAATAAAAAAATCAATTTAAATCTATACAAATTATTTTTTCTTTCAAATATTATTCCTTATCTAAGATTTATTATAATACTCTATATTAACTTACTTTTAAGTTTATTATTTGAATTAACTAAATAAATTTTAAATTTAAAATATAATAAATTACTAAGTTAATTCAAGTATAATAGATACTTGTAAAACTTAAAAAATATTCTAAGATCATAAATTTCAATGAGTAAAATCAATTATTATAACCTTTTTAATTTAACATTAAATATTAAAGATAACTGAAAATAAACCTGATAATAATATAAATAAATATAATATTTAATTATATTTTATAATTGTTTTTCTAATAATATATAAGTTTTTAATTATATTAAAAATATAATAAATATAAAATACACTTATAAATTAATATTATAATACTTTTAATTAAAAATAAAAACTTAATAAATAGATTATATATTGAATATAATAATTTATAAAAAAAAGAAGATCTTTAAAAAAATATTAAAAAAAAAATTAAAAAATATCTAATAATTCTAGTTAATTTAAGATATATAAATTAAAACTTTTAAAAAAATTATTATAACTAATACTAATATTTCTTCTAATAATATTATATAAAAATAAGTTATAAAAATTATTAATATAATTAATATAAATTATTAAAATTTAATAATTTTATAATTTTATTATTGATTTATAAATTTTAAAATAATCAAATATAATACATAGTAAATTTAAAATAAAATATATATAATAAAGCTATTTAAATTTAAAATTAATAGAAATTTTATAAAAATAAAAGAAAAAATAATTGAAAAAAATAAAAAATAAGTTAAATTAAATTTAAACATATTTTAACCTAAACTTCATATTTGATATATAAAATAAAATTAATTTTTTTTTGATAATTTCTTTATTTTATTATAAAAGTTCTATATTAAATAAAATTTCTTCATAAATATTAAAAATTATTTATTATAACTTATTTTTTTATTGATTATCTTAATATAAGATTTTTAATTTAACTATTCTCACCGGTTGAAATAGTCCATTTCAGCCAGAATTCGATTGTCCGGTCTTAGGCCGAATTATGGTCTAAAGCTGGGCAAAATTATACCAAAAATTATATGTGACGAATGATGTAAATCGTCTGCCACTCGTATAACAAACAGATTACATAAATCGTCACATGTTCAAACAAAATTCGACCATTAAAAAAATAAAGGTTCGACTATTTAAA